TAGTATGTTTGGATGTTTGACAGTGTTTTATATGACAAAAGGAGTTCTATGTTTTTCTTATATGGTGTTATTAACTGTGTTGCACGATGACAACCAACCTGAGCATGAGGAGTGTTGTTTATTTAATATTTAGATTTTATGTTCAAGAGGGCATGAAAGAGACACTAATTGCATTAATGACCAATTGATTATGATAGAATATTTTCCACATCTTTGATTTTGGATAAATTTTGTAGCTAGGAGAGCAACACATAATAGGTTCATTTTTTTATGTGATTTTTTTTTAAATGGGAGATGATATCTGAGAACATGATATCAGGAGGCTGCAATTCAGTGGTTGTCGTTTGTCTATGTGTTAAATAATATTTGTTTGTTTTTTCGTTTATTTTGTGTACATAAATAACATAAATGACTATGCGTTATGGGCTTTGCTTATTGTTGAAGGCTGTACGGTGACCCGTAGTTGTTAATTTCTGTGTCATTTTGGTCTGTTGTGGAGAATTGTCTCATTGGTAATCATACCACATCTTTTTTATATGTATTTGCTCACTATTTGTATGGTTCTATTTATATTACTTTGTGGTGGATTGTCAGTATCATTAGTAAAATATTTTGTTAAAATGTCGAAATTGTTTCTCAGATTAGAAGACATTTATTGGTTTTTAGTAATGAAAATGCCTGACATGATGCTTGGGGCTAGATGAGCTAGAAAGTAAACTTCTGTGTTGTTTTTTATCAATTCTTTGATAACATCTCCTCCAAAGCTGGCCGAAGCAAAAAAAAGTTTTGACCAATATGAAAACGATATCAACAAAAAAACCTTTGTGAGCATGCTTCAAAGACTCATAACTGCTCCAAAAGTAATCTGATAGAATTTCAAGCATGTCAAGTGGGTATTATGAAAATCTACTTAATATGTCTAAATATCAAAAAAGTTATAGTATTCAATATGAAAAAGGTATTGCAAAATTATTCTCTTTTCAATTTTTTTTGTTATATGGATACAAATATAAGTGATACCAATACAGTATTTGTTGTGGTATGAAAGTGTAGTTATTAACATTTACTGTAACAATGTTAATTCACACAAATTAAGAAATAAACAAATGAATGAAAAATGTTGAACATGTACAATGAAATATAGTTTTAGAAATCAATTAGGCCAGATAGGCCTTATAAATTTTTTTTTTTTTTAACATACTGAATGACCATTTACACTCAGGACCGAGTCATCAGTAGGCAGTACAGATGTATTAAAACAACCTAGCATCATATTGCTAGTAGCGAGTGTAGCATTGTCGGGTAAATTTGTTCTTTTTTTTAAATTTGGTTAAAGGACAAAAAATGTTTGGTTCAAATCATAATAAAATGCTTTTATCTCCTTATTACTTACATTGTACATAGAATGGATACTACCCTGACAAATCCTTGTACATGAGAGTTGTCTGTCAAATCTTTATTTCACAAAGAATGAATTGCATAACAATGAACTGAGCTCAAAGCAAAGCACTTTAATAATACACTTAGACAAAGAGCTCAATCCAGTGATATACTTTGTACTACAGGTCCTTCATGAACATCCTATCCACCAAAACCATATCTCACAAACATGCCATACTACATGTACATGGTTCGATCAGAAGTCCTGAAAAAGATATGAATTTTATATTCATATTTTAATTATACATACACAGGTTAAAAGTTATATACTCCAATGGCAGTCTTTCCTGCTAAAATGTCATGTGTAGAATGTGATATACCATTTTTGGGTCTATATGGGTACTGTCCTTTATATTCATTAGGTCATTTTGACACAACAAAATATATAGAAAATGTTTACTTTTATCTGGAAATTGAGTTCTTTTTCGCAAAATAAACCCACTAAAACTAAACTTTGAATGCAAAAGACCCCTAAATGGCTAACAGATATTGCTATAATGAATAGTCCATGATCATTATTGTTATTAAAGAGTTCATGAAATGTACACTGATTCTGTCAGTTGAATGGACTAGAATGAGATAAGTTATATAAACATAAAGGTTTTTTCAACAGTTGTGGTGTAAATTAAATCAGTTTTATTTTATGGTTGACATATTTAAGTATATATGTAGACCATTGGCTTTTCAACACTATATACAATATCGATTATCTATTTATTGTTATATTGTTGGTATTTTTCACCTTCCTAAAACAGTTTTAACGCAACATGAACGCAAGCTTAATAGATCTTGATAGGGTGTCCTCACATATTTTGACGTTGCTGAAAAATTTTGGTTGACATATGTATCCTCTTCTCATCGTTTTTCGTGCTATTAAGAATGCATACTGTCGTCACAATTTCCATTGAAAAGGCATGCATAGTACAAATTCATATGACAAACGAAAACATATGATCTGACTATATACATGTACATGTATGTATAGGTTATCAGCTTTTCTGCACATATTAGCCGGTAAGCCGCAATGAACCTATTATGGCGAGTGAGCGCAGCTAATGAGCTAAAATGAATCAAATTGTGTCCTCAGTGGGGGATATTTTAAGGGATCTATGTGAAGAAAACCTGATCATCTGTTCATCGTTCTATTACTGGCTTTTTCACCTCCCTAACTTGGCCTAAGACAGTTTACAGACGAAAGCAAGCTTGATAACTACTCCTCACACACATGTATAGATTATCAGCTTTTCTACACGAGTCATGAATATCGTAAAATGTTAGCCAGTGAGCAGGCCCGCAATGAACCTTTTTAGCGAGTGAGCCCAGCTAATGAGCTAAAATGAATCAAATTGTGTACTCAGTCACAGTTGGTGATATTTTAAGGTATCTACACAAAGAAAACCTGCTTATATAAATCTCAGTGGCGGATCCACAACTTTTCATAAAAGGGGGGTGGCCGCTGACTGACCTAAGGGTTGCCCACTCCCGTCATGCTTCCCCAGTGGCGGATCCGGGGGGACGGTTCCGATGGTTGGAAACCCCCCCCCTTTTTTTGGACGATCAATGCATTTGAATGGGGACACATAGTTGGAACACACCCCCCCCTTTGTCTCGAGTTGGGAACCCCCCTTTTATAAAATGGCTGGATCCGCCCCTGCTTCCCTATAAAATCAACAAAATTTTCCCCACCCCCTGGATCCGTCTATGTAACTGTTTATCGTTCTGCGTAATACTGGCTTTTTCACCTCCCTTACTTGGCCCTAGACAGTTGCTTATCTGTTTATCGTTCTGTCACTGGCTTTTTTAGACTAGAGACTTCATGTGTACAAACCTGACGTCAAACTCGTGTACTATAAAAGAAGAGACAAATAATTTCACATTAAATCCTGTAACATTACATCTAAAGATAATTACAATCCAAAGTAAATTATATTACGATGTCAATGGACTAAATTCCCGCGCAAATGTCATCACTGGGATAGACCAAAACGAATTTTAGGTTTATGTATCATTCACATTCCGATCAATTTACTCAGTTAAATAAAATATATGTGTTAACTATTTTTATTTGCACATTATATAAGAGAAAATGCACATCAAGGATATATGCACATCATATATACGGTATATTTTCACATCATATAAGTATATTTTGCACATCATAAAATTATGTTTGCACATCATATAAGTATATTTGCACATCATATAAGTATATTTTGCACATCATATAAGTATGTTTGCACATCATATAGGTATATTTGCACATCATATAAGGATGTATGCACAGCAAATAAGGATGTTTGCACATCACATAAGGAAAGTTGCACATTATATAATAACAATTGCACACCATATAAAGGTAAATGCACATCATATAATGAAAATGGGCATAATAAGACAGTTTTGGTGTTCAAATTATTTTCAACAGATTCTCTTGGAGGACTTACGGATCTTCAAGTTTGAATTATTTTATAGGCAACGTCAAGATTTTCGAAAACATTCATTAGTAAGGTTTTTAATCGGTTTCTCGTCAATTTCTAATCGAATATTTTTACATTATGTCAAATTATTTTTTATAGTTGTCGCCTACAGATGATATAAGGCATTTGATTGCCATCTATTTTGTTTTATTAACCAGATGATCCACAATTATTTGCCGGGCCACGCGGCATAAAAGCGTAATAGTAGTCTAGTCTAGTAGATGTTGTTTATTTGGCGGCGGGGAATTGTTTTTTTTTAACTCTATCAACAGAGAACAGAATATAAACATATATGTATGAAACAATTTATAAACACGCATATAAATTTTATCTGTTACATCGAATCTCAAATGAAGAGAAATCAAACTAAAACGTATAACAAGTTTTTTTACATACGGCCTTCAACAATGATCAAAACCCCATAGTATATGCAAGTAGAAAGCTGTTTAAGGCACCGGATAGCAAAATGAGAAACAATGCAATGAGGAAAACTTACGGGCTGATTTAAGTTTATAACATTAAACGGAAAAAATCATGACAAACGGTTATCAACGAAAATCGCCATACTACAGTTTCTGGCTTTGGACAGACAAATACAAACTGTCGATATTAGCTTATGAAGTTATCATTTTTATTAGAGGGAATAATTCACTTAAAGAAGGAAAAGAGATGATGATGAAACAGATCATTTTGGTTACTAGTAATTAAAAGTCGGGTTTTGAACTTTTAAAACGGGAGGTTTGTTGCTATATTTTAATTGCAGTTAACGTTACAGACAGAACTGACGATACCAAAGGACACTATAAAGTCGCAGAACACTTTGCATATTAAATGTCAAGCTTGATCTCTATGGACTGATATCAGTTTTAGATACACAAATGATCCCTGTAAACTAAATACAAATATTGATTTGAATACAATAGCTGATGCGATCCCTAATACCATCTCAATAATTGCATAAAAACAATTTCAATCTGGCAAAACATTCATGCTATCAACGATATCAGATTCTAATCAAATGTTAAGTGTTGTTGGCATATTCATTCAATACATCAATATTTGTTATAACAAAGACAGGCGGTACTATCATCATCATCACACAACAGACTAGCATACCAAATCACACATTCTAATAATTATACAGTCATTTTGGAAGTAATATACATATCATTGTTGTGCTATGGTATTTTATTGCTATTGCGTGTAGACATATGTTGTGAGAAGTTACAGTGTATTGTAATGTCTGTGTCATCGGCCACTGCTGCAGCGTCAACGCGCCCTAGAAAAGATTCTAGAACTACAAGTCCTAAAGTCAGATCTATGACACCTAAGCAATCGGGAGTAGAAGGTTTAGAAGACTTCCAAAGGTAAGAGAATTTTACAAGTTTTTTTTATTCTTTTATTAAAGTTTTGCAAAAAAATAATTCTGATTTTTATAGTGATAATTAAGATACCATTGGCTTGAAATATTCCTAATTTCAAAGGTAAGCCATTTCTCTTTTGTAAAAGTTTTGCTAAAATGATTCCGATTTTTATAATGATAAGACACAAGTGGCTTGAACTATTCCAAATTTGTCATAAAGAAAAACATCTTTTCACATTTGTATTTTTTTTAATTACTGGAATGATTTTCAGTAAAATGTGAAAAAAACCCGACGATTGCAAACATTTAATGAATTTCGCATCCCTTTTTATTTTGTTATTTTGGGTCTTTAGGTCACCAATGGATTAATACTTCCGGATTTTATAAAGTATAACATTTTACTGGACAATTGATGAACTATGAATTTTAGAAATGCACATATGGTGGACCAATTTAGCTTTGTTATTTTGTCATGTTGTATTAGGGGAAATAAGTGATATCTAAATGAAGTCCATGCCGTCTAATTTACTCTGTATCCCATATATGAAATAAGGAGATGTGGTATGATTGCCGATGAGACAGCTATCCACCAGAGACCAAATGACGTAGATGTTAGGCTAGCAACTATAGGTCACCGTACGTTCTGCTTTATGTTCGAAAATAAAAGTGCAATTACCATCTCATTTTGAAGGAACAATGTTCTTTAATTAAAAAAAAAAATTTTGAAGACACTTTATATCTATGCCGACATTATGCTAAATACTTGGGATATACGTGATTTATAAAGTAAGACGTGATAAACATTTAAAAATCATCTTTACATTACACCTAAATACTGAATAATGCAAGACTTTATAAACATTTAAAAATCATCTTTACTTTACACCTAAATACTGAATAATGTAAGACGTGATAAACATTTAAAAAAAAACATCTTTACATTACCCCTCAATACTGAATAATGTAAGATGTATAGACATTTAAATCTTTGATGACTGATATCTTTACGCTGCCCCTAATTACTCAAAACATATCTGTATTACACTAAAACGGCAAAGATTGCATTCAATAATTAGTATATATTTTTTTTAACATTAACATTTATGATAATTATGTTGCATAATTGTTAGTAAAATTATATTGCAGTTTATAGTGAATAGAAATTGACTTCTTTTAAACTGAGTTTTACTGTGCGTATTGCTGTGTGTTTGTTTATTTTTTTGCTAGAGGTATAGGGGGAGGGTTGAGATTTCACAAAACACGTTTAACCCCACGGCATTTTTGCGCTTGTCCCAAGTCAGAAACCTCAGCCTTTGTTAGTCTTGTATAATTTTTTTTAATTTTGGTTCATTTATATGTTTCGGAGTTTAGTGTGACGTCCATTTTCACTGAACTAGTATACATTATTCTCCGGGTGCGGGATTTTCTCGCTGTGTTGAAGACCCATTGGTAGCCTAGGGCTGTTTTCGGCGCTTTGGGCGGGTTGTTGTCTCCCCGTTTCCATTCTCAATTTTATTTCTAAATGATATGCAAAAATCTAATATTTGTTATTATATATACTTTATTACTGTTAAAATTAATTATTTACGCTAGTTATTTAGAATAGAAACATAAAAGTTTTAGAGAAAGCAGGGTCGTAGCTAGGTATCCAATGAAGTTTCAATGCAAGGAAGAACATTTACCATGTATGTTAAATCGATTAGCAGGGTTTCTCCATTGATGTTCATAATTAGAAAGATTAATCCTATTTACAATTTGATTGATTTATACTAATCGTCCCGATAATGATTTATGGAAAGTAGTAGGTCTTAACTAGATTCTTCTCAAGAGTCAATATTTAATGGTTAAGTTCTGATATGATAACCCAGTAACCATTAACACGGATAACTTATGTAATAAATTGTTTGTATTCTGTTGTTACATCACATCGTAGGAGGTCAAGTACCATTGATGTTGGAAATCGAACACACTCGTCTATGTTCGATGGAAGAAGTTAAGGTTATTATCTGTGACTTGTTCATAAATGAAAAATAAAAAGATACGATGAGCGGAATAAAAAAACATAACTCGACGAAAGACAGACAGACGACATCATGTGCAGAAGAAAAAAAAACAAAAAAACAAACAACACTCAATCAACACATAGTACAGAGAAACTCTATCTAAAATTGGGAGATGTATACCAAAAGGTTCAGTTCCTACTCTACTGGTAGCGCCAGTCGACTTCATTATGACAAGTAATTAGCTGTTGACACAAATAAATGTCTCGCCTTTAAGTAATTTTGATAGTATAATACAAATATTGAAATTATTAAAAAGCAATACTTTAACATGTAAACTATGTAAAAGAAATTAAAGTTTATGACCCTTAACTGAAAGTGCCAGGCCAAATAACCTCTGTGGAAATGAGAAATGCCAAGGCTAATACAAATGAATACCAAATACCATTGACTTAGCATAAGTGGTGCCTCATAAATTGAAGAAAAAAACTTCTAACATGTAAACGAGGCAAAACATCCAAAGTCAATGAACTATGACTGAGGGAACAGGCCAAATAATCTCCAAGGAAATGAGATGTGCCCATGCTAATACAACTGCATACCAAATATCATTTATTTGTAATAAGTGGTCCCCCTTAAACTGACCTTATCACAAACTTTAACATGTTAACTATGCACACATTACAAAGTCAGTGAACCATGACTGAAGGAGTGTGACATAAAATCTCCATGGAAATGAGACGTGCTAATACTAATTCAACAACAAAACAATATCATTGATTTACCATAGTGGTTCCCGTCAAACTGACATAATCGTGCTAAAATTAAGTCAATAGATAAATTGAGAATGGTTTACGGGGAATGCGACCAAAGAGCAGAAAAACAGCCTGAGCCCATCAATGGGTCTTCAACACAGCGAGAAAATCACGAGTTAGGGGCTGCCCACATAATCTCCACGGACATGAGATGTACTAATGATGATACAACTACACACCAAATGTCATTGACTTACCATTCGTGTTTCCCCTCAAACTAACCAAATTAAAACTTAAACATGTAAATTAAGCAAAAGTTTCAGTCATTAGACCATGACTTAGATGTGCCAGTTCTACTTTAACTGCATAACAAATATCATTGAAATACCATTATTGGTTCACCTTACACTGACCTAATACCAAACTTTAACATTTTGACACTGCCGCCACCGCCACTGAAAACAGCACGCCTACGTCTCGCTTTTTCGACTTTGTCTATAGACGAGATAAAATTCCGATGAAACTCGCATTCGGTGATGTCATAAAAAGAGGGATAATGGTAAATACAAATGGTACAAATCACAGGTTATCAGTCTCACAGATAATTATTAATAGTCTGCCAAATCTTGATAAATTTCAAAGAGATGACCTCAACTTTACAATTTTAAAGAACCCTTGATTCAGTAGCATTACTGTATGAGCAACAAACACTCTTTCAAGGAAATCCCGATATGAAATTCACGTGACATGGGCAATGTGGTGAAAGCTAAATCGTTAAAGTTGGACCACATTTTTTCATTAATCCACTGACAATGATTAACAATACTATAAATCAAGGACGTATCAATCTCAGGAAATTGCAAAATCTCTCATACGATATAATCTTAATACATTGCCATTACAAACACTCACGAAGCTAATTTAACATGTTAACATAGAAAAAAAAGAATGTGGATATTTGATGAGATGTAAAAAAAGAGAAAGTCTAAATGATTTTAATAGTTAGAATGTAAAAATGAAGGTCTGTGCAATAATGTAAAAAATAAACATAAAACGTTTGTATTGTATTTGACACGAAACAAATAATAAGACAATGTTGACTAGCCTTGCGTAACTTCATGTTGATTCCTCGGTTAATATATTCCTAATTTATTTTGCATGAAGAGACAATCCAAACTAATAGCTGTCCGTAGCCTCTATAGTTATGTTTAAAACAGATAAATTTATCATAACGGTAAAAGTCATAGAAAAATGTTCAGCCCGTCACAAAGTTCAAAATTTTACTTCTTACCGGAAATCGAATAATTAAAAGTTGGGCAATTTTAGCTTAGAACCTATAGATACGAAAAACTAACATTTTAACACAAAAATCACATTTTTGTAATAAGTTCCATCAATTAGGCACTCTCATGACAATGACAAATCTCTGTTATTGTCTTATAGTGGCCAAATATGACCCTCTGACTTTTTGTCTGTGTGCTTCAGGGTGAAAGATGATTTGACTTCATCAGACGCTTCAAGTCAGATTAAAATTTAACTGTAAATATGAGCATTCAATGGTGATTTCCTTCTTTATGTATTATTTATGCACAGTGGGATATAAGATATGCCAAATTTAAAATGATCTTTAAAAAGTCTTATTCAAAACACATCTCACCGTTTGAAATTTTAACTATCTTATTAAATTCAAACGATATTTGGAATTTTCCATTTTCTCATTTGATGAATCGCACTTTTTCTTTTAGTCTTTCTTCGAGAGGATTTAGAAGGGCATGAAAAAAAAAAAACGATGAGACCGAATTCTTTTTTCTTTGAACATTTTCGTGAATAAGATATTGCTATCAAATATGCCTTAGTTTTACTTTGATAAAGAATCAAGCAAAATAGAATCCTTGTTAATAATCATTGAATTGCTGGAGGGCAGAGATGCATATCAATTTATTTCTTAGGCCAGTGTTTTATTTTTCTGTATTTGTCAAAGGAATTCATGAGTATAAAAATAAAGAGATGTGATATGATTGCTTATAAGACAACAATCCCCCAAAAAGACAAGGACATAAACATCTACTGGTCATCGTATGACCGTCAACAATAAGCAAACCCATACCGTATAGTTAGCTGTAAAAGGTCCGATATAATAAAAACAAAAAATTTGGAACAATACAACAGAAAAATAATGGTCGGATTTAAGCCAACACCATTTAAACGAAAAGAATTTATCACAGACGACAACCACTGGACTATAGAGG